GGTGTTTTTTCCCTGTGCTGATGAGTACAGTTTGTTGCTGGTTTCCCTTAGCCATGTATCAAGGGTTTGAGAGTAGCTGCTGACACAAGGAAGCGGAGTGGTTGAGGAGGATCTGGAAGTGGCTCCAGGGCTTAGGACCAGAGAAGGGTTAGGTGAAAGTGCTGGAGGTCTCTGTCCACCCCTCACTCCAAACAGGGCCACCCTTGCAGCCACGTGACATTGCACAGGGCCTCATCCAGGCAAGTGTTAACCGTCTCCAGAGATGGATGCAGCACATCTTCTGCCACACGCTTTGCTTTTCCCTCTGCAGAATGTCTCCTGGGTTGCAGAGGGGAATCTCAATGACATCCGTGATCTAAAAGCTATGTCACTCTGTCAGCAGTGAAACAAAATCTCCAGAAGTTACTCATGGGAGGACTACCTTCCTCCTTTTCTGCAAAAACTAGGCATTGCCTGGCAAAGGAAGCATGCTCAGAAATGGGACCTGGACACCTGGTTGCTAAGGTTGGAGTGTTGTAGGACAAGAAAGATACTCAAGACAGGAGGTAGTTTAAAGTACTAAAGGGACCAATGCACACCCGCTGCTACTGATGTCTTCCTTAGCACCTGCAAATCTCAGCTCAGGAGCCCGCTGCTGAAATTCTGGTCTCTGCCCTGTCTCTGTCACTGACTGATGAGACTTTTCTTTTGGTCTCTCCTCACAGATTTGTAAAACCCAGGAGTCCAAGGCGGCTGCTTCATACTGCAGCCCTGCAGTGCCAGTGCACTTCAACATCCAGCAGGACTGTGGGCATTTTGTGGCCTCTGTCCCCTCCAGCATGCTGCTGGCCTCAGATGCAGGGAAAAGCATGCCTGGGGAAGGCCTCCATCCCTCCCGCACTGCCAGCGAGCATGACTGTGTGGTGGTCATTACCCGGGAGGTGCCGAACCAGACCACTGCCGACTTCGTGAGGGACTCGGTGGTGTTGCACCAAGCTAAGCCCGAGCTGTATGAACGTCGCGTCTGCTTCCTGCTCCTCCAGCTCTGCAATGGCCTGGAGCATCTCAAAGAGCACGGCATCATCCATCGTGACCTGTGCCTGGAGAACCTCTTGCTTGTTCCCTGCAAGCCCCCCATGAGCTGTGTGAAAGCCAAAGATGACAAACACTTACCCCGCCTCATCATCAGCAATTTTTTGAAAGCCAAACAGAAGCCAGGAACTGGAGACTCCAAACTGAAGAAGAGTCAGGCCCGGCTGGCCCCGGAGATTGTGTCAGCTTCTCAGTACAAGAAGTTTGATGAGTTTCAGACTGGTATTCTCATCTACGAGCTGCTGCACCAGCCCAACCCCTTCGAGGAGAAGGTGCACCTCAGGGAACAGGAGTACAGCCCTGAGGACCTCCCTGCTCTGCCTAGCCTGTCCATCTACTCCCGGGGGCTCCAGCAGCTGGCCCACC